ACACACTCCAGCTCTCAGTGGGGAGGAGAACAGAGTGATGAAACCAGTTCAGAGATGGGGATTATAAGGAGGCAGTGATTGGTAAAGGACAGGTGGAAATTTGGGCAGGATGCCAGGGTAACACCCCTACTCTTTTCGAGAAACGCTCTGGGATTTTTACTCAGTTGAATGTGTCGTCCAACGGACAATGACCTTTTACAGTAGAGTGTCCCCATCACTACACTGGCGTGTTAGGACCCACACAGTCTGTGGGGTGTGCGCCTCCTACTGGCCCCACTAACACCTCTTCCAGCAGCAGCCTTGGTTTTTCCCAGGAGGTCTCCCATCCAGGTACCAACCAGGCTCACACCTGCTGAGCTCCAGTGGGCTGCCAGTGGCGAGCTGCAGTTCGACAGGACTGCTGGCTGAATGAAAAGAGGATGAAAGAGGGGGTGCTGTTTCACTCACCCCGTGTGCTCCCTGTACCGTGCGCGCCAGGTTGAGCCCCTTCCACACGTAGATGTCCCCATTCAGCGCCCCGGAATACGTAACGTCATCTTTCGCACTGGCCAAGCAGAGGATGGTCTGCAGGTCCCCAGTTTTGCCGAATATTCCCCTTTTTGGTGTTAACGCATTTCCACACAAGGCCCAAAACTGGGGGGGGGGAAAGGGAATATATATTTCACTGTTGTTAATTTTCTGCCTTGTTCACTTCAAATTAATGATCTGTACAATACATTATGTGAATGCATACACTGTAAATAGGAGTGTATTATTTATACTACTTAAAAACAAAAAATTGGATTTTTAAGGAGAAGCTTTTCTCCCTCTGTTTTTGAAACGTGGCTTACCAAAGCTAATTTATTGTGGTTCGCTTCACAGATGGGATGGGCGTTTGGGGATCTCTCAGATCTCCCTGTAAATCCCTTGGGAATTTATGTGGGAGGTGTTGCCGAGGAAGAGCGAGATAGTGGGCAAAACATAAAAAGATAAAAAGAAACAAATGTGCATCTGTGTATTTTTTGTCTCGCTTATCTGCAGTTTGGAGCTCATTGATTTTACCATGTCACTGTTTGTGCGTATGTCGGCTAATCTATCTGACAATTAAATGAAGTGATAATAATCAATTACAGGAAGCTGGAATCTGCAGTGCAAGCAAAGCAATGTAGGAGGTCCCAGTGTGCTCTGGACAGTAAAAGACAGCTTTCCCAGGGGCAAATGACAGAGCAACTTGCTTGTTTTTGAATGAATTGAATTTGACATCTTCCAACTGCACCTCTGAAATAAGCATCTAAAGCAATTTGGCTCATTGCATTCAGTTTTCCAAACATCGCTCTGCAACCTCGTTGGTGTGAGATGTTCTGCTGTTCCATTGCAGTGCTGGCGGCTTTGGTACCAGAAGATGCAAAGCACTGTTCACCCTGGCTTGGAATGGTGGGTGAACAACATAAATAGGTGATACTACATGAAAAGCAAAGTGGATATTGTCCTTCCAGAAAGAAACTTTCCATCTCTTTTCCTACCAACAGACCAAGATACATCCTACTGTGCATACATCTGTGTACAGCATGATTGTAAAGAAGTACAATGCCTTTCTGTTAAACTGACCTTATATATAAATTAATCAGTCACAATATCTACATCGGATTAAGTATTTCTAAAACAAGGTCTACATCATGTCTGCATGTCTACATGTGACAAACTCAAGTGGACTTCTGTAAAGGAAACAAGGGGGGTATGCCGATCATACATGTCTTCAGTCATGATACTCTTCTTCTTAGAGAAGTAAACAGGTCTGGAAAGTGGGGCAGGAACACTTACATGATGGATGACCACTGAATCCATTCAGTGTGGATTTTATTCATTAACTGAAGTGCTTTGCAGTGCATAGCGCTGAGTGGGTAGAAACTTTGAACAGCTGTCCTTTCAACAGCAAACCCACCACCTTTCAATTCAGACAAACATCTTAGCTTGGCAATAAAGCTATAAAGCACTGGATATTACTGGCACTTAGAATGGAGTGACCAGTTTATTTAACTACAGGAGGACACTTTTGTCTTAGCATTGAATTAATGATTATCTCCGTACCTTCTCTGCTCAGAAATGTTTTAAAGGTGTGTATGCAAGCGCTAAAATTAATCCTTCCACCCACTGTGTTTTAATTCATCCTAGCATTACTCTCTTTTAAAGACATGACTTGAAATATTTTAACAAACAATTCAGCTGAACTGATTTTGCGTTTCCATCAAACAAAAAATGTTGGGCTTCCCTTTGTTTCAACGTGATCCCCAATGATGATCGAAAAACAGACCACTGTATTTCAGGTGTGTACTGTGGATACGGTGTCCAGCTGCATGTTCTTCATTTATGCTCCCCAGTGTGGGAAAGCTCAGTAACGGGAACTGACATAAAATTGAATCGACATTTTACATGGATTTCAAATGAATAAATCCACTTGAATGAACAATAAATAAATGATTCTTATAAACAAATGTTGGAATCAATCAAAAAAAGAGCACTGCACTGTAATTTGCCTTTGTTCAGTCACTTTAGCAAGTGTATTGCTCAATACGGCTGTTATTTCATTCTGATATAAGGAGCAGCTTTACAGTAGATGTTTATCCAACATGTCCAGGTATTACAGTAGGAAAGCCAGAGTAATTCAAGCTCAGAGGACATAATAATGTAATAGGCACACACTGCAAATTGTGCTGTCTACTCCACTCCCATGGCTTAAGAAACTGCAGTTTGTTTGTTTTTTGTATGTTAAAGAACAGTCTCACCTTGATGTGCTTCACCCCGCAGCTCACAAGCCTGTTCTGTTGATACGGATCCCAGGCAATATCAAAGATCTGTAACAGCGCCAAGCAATTAAGAGTCACCGCAGGCATTTCAACAAATGTAATTAAAAAAAACTCAAAAGTAGATGTCCAGCCCTGAACCCCTGTTATTTAATCACTGACCCTCTAAGCCTTCCTGCAAGTCCCAGAGACTGAGCAGTGGCCAGGCTTCAAGTCATAGCAACTGGTCACGGGGAAGCCAGCCAGATGCAGGAAACCCCTAAGCCATCATCGGCCCAGTTTATGAGGGAGACAGATGCCAAGATGAGCCAATGAGCGCTCAATGAAGGCGCCCACGCATGTGCACACATCGAGGCAGAACCACTCCTTTGCCTCTCCTCCGTTGTTGATGTTCTTGTGCATTCTGATTTGACTGGAGGTCCTTGGCTCCAAGGGGTACATCAGTGAAATGCACGAAGCTGTACTCAGCTGTGCTGTGCAAATTAATGACCCTATGTGCTGCTTCTGCACTGAAAGAGGATCCGTGGGAATGAAAAGGCAAGTCTTTTACTGTTTTCACATTTGACTTGACAGAATTTACCGACACTGACTTCATGGGATTTTGTTAGACACTTGAGCATCACTTTTGTTTTCTGCTACTATTGACAAATTGAGTTAGGTTTTCTGTTCATCCCTTAGCAGAATGTAACTTATTCCTGGCAAGAGTCACTCAGTTGTTGTAAACTCAGAAGTATAGGATGCACAACTGGACTACATTAAGGAGCTTTACCAGCTTCTAGCATGATACCATCAGACCTCAGATGCTAAGCAAGCTTTGGCATAGTCAGTACTGGGATAGGAGACAAGGGAGAAGTGAGATGCTTCTATAACTGGTGTTGGTTGACTAGTAGTTGGTACTCTTCTTTCTGAACCTGAATTTTCACATCAAAGCCCAAGTATGGTGACAGGGGACACATGCTTTCGGTGCCATCCTAGGGATGAGAAGTCAAACCATGGTCCTGACAACTTGGCCTTTAAAGATTCCATGGCACTGCTGGCAAGATTAGAATGGTTAACAATGGCATCCTGGCTGAATTCCACCTTGGGAATTCATTATCTGCTCCCTTGGAAGTTCCCCCCTAACGCACTGAGTGAAGGCATTCACTGAGGGTGCAGAATAGCAGCTGTGTGTCACTTAGGTGGTAGGCTTCACTTCAGTGGTGAAAGAAAGGGCTTTGTGATCAAAAACTCTGCATATATGCCATTCCACTACTGCAGTTAATGCTACTGCTCCTAATCCTACACTGGGGACACAGAGTCAGTCCACTATAGGGCACACATACGCATAAAGCTTTAAATACAAGGGATTTCATTTAGAACAGAAATACCTCCTGATGTGATGACAATTTTATGGCAGAAGCTTGAGCTTGAGCTATGCATTCCTCCACAAAATTGTCTGGCAGGGCAACTCTAAAATTGTGAAATTGTACAGCAACTCTTGGAACAGTGACTTGTCCCCTGCATAATAAATGCGAGTTATCTATGTGGAATCAGCAAGCTATTTCAGTGCTGCTCCAGCTGCAAGATTCCAGGGGTGTAACACGGCCAAAGGCCCAGAACACCACTTTCCATTTTCAACACATTCAGTCGGCCCTGCTGATGCTCGTGCACAAATTGTAGGGGCACACGACGTCCCGTTCCTACCCTGTCGGAGTGTCCGGTCGCTGTGGCCAGCACTTTCCCTTTCTTCCAGTCCCAGACGCAGACTGTGTTTTTGGCATCCAGCCCCACCGAGGCTAAACGCTTCAGAAACGAGGAAAAGAGGAAAGAAAAAATATACAATATATTTTGCAGCTGTTAAATAATGAGTCCCTCAACTTGACAGAGAAAGACAGATTCGATAAGTCTTGACCTGAACACTGTTAAAGGACACAAACCACTGCAGAAAGGGAGGCAGTAAAAGGCATCAGATTGCTCACGCAAGGCCAATATTCTAATTGAGCTTTCAGTAAAAACTAAAAGACATAAAAGATGCTATTACTCTGAATACAATTACCATTAAGTGAGTCAATGTGTATACTTTTTTTCTAAAGAATTAAGTGAAACAATGTGGCTTTTTTTGTTTAGTGTTTACTGCACATTGGATAACTGCTACATTGCAATAAACATTAGACAATTCGAACACCGCTGTAGAATGCTGACTTTCAAACCCATTTAAACCTCTTCCAGAATCTTTAATAAATTTCTTTAACACAAATGTCCTTCATTTTTTAAGAACAATTATCTAATGCTTCTAATGAGGTTCATAATGAAGCCTGTAATAATCCCAAAAACAAATTGAATATATTCGATAGGAGTCTTACAAGCTTATAAAGCAATAATACTAATCATTAATCATGACAACAGAACTCTACATTATGAACATTATTTCCAAAACAAAGATAGCTTAAAGAAGTGGTCTTTCAGTTGTCAGATTTTAATCGTGATTTAAATAAAACCTTTCAATATAAACGTTCAGTGGTTAAATCCCGTTTAGAGTCAGTGAACACCTATAGTTTTTAATATTGAAAGAAAAGATTGCTTTATAAGCTTTTAACTCTTCGCTAGAGCTTTCCCCAATCTTTTTAAACATGTCAGAAAGAAGGGTTTCAGTCTGAGCATACAGTATAGCTTCACTGTAATTCGCTGTATTTAAATCCATGGTGGTACGTGAGGATGTGGGGCAGTTCAGCCATTGAGATACAAGTTGTAGATTTAAGTTGAACGTCAAGCAGACAACTTGAAACTGCTCCCCACTGAGCTCAGCAAGGTGCCCACCTAGGAAAAGTTCTGCAATTCTTGTCAAAGAGTGGTACAGCCCTGCCATCTCAAAGACATGGGACACATTCTCCATGGGAATTTCCAACTCCTTATACTTACAGAAAGGTGGTTTTGTTACCCCAGGAGGGCACCTCAAGTCAACAGTAATGAAGAAAAAGGGCTATCTTGACTTTTTTTATCATTCTAAGAGAACTCAAAGTCAGCAGTTAATTTAGATGCTTAGAAAGCAACAATGTGACCAAACGCCATGTCAAGGCATCGGATACGTATGGTGCAAGTGTTACTGGGGAACTGCAGTGCTATTTTCATATTTTCCAGGTTAGAAAGAATCAGCATTGATGTGTGCATTTCAAACTGCGATAACAGTAAAATGTTCACAGTAACCTGTAAAACATCCAATTAACATTACAAAACACACACAATTTCCAGGTATGCGCAGTGCCATATTCTGCATTTCAGAACGAGGCAACAAACCTTCCAGTGACGCGGCGCGGCCCTATTACACTGTAAACAAGCAGGCTTGTGAATACAGCTCTTTTAATCCAACAGAAACACTGCTCTTGATTTTGAAAAGGTTTTGCCGACAAATACTACTAACTTGTTAACTCTGCATGCAGACCGCATTGGAACATTTCTCCGAAGTTGGACTTGGACCGAATGTTTCGGTACCGTTTACCGGACGGTAGGAGGGAAAGCAGTTTGTGACTGGGCCTGATTGGTGTTCTTGAGAATGGACCTGGCCTTCTTCAACATTTGAGTTGCATCAACATAGCGACTTACAGTACTTTCACAAAATTCAAGATTTTGTGCTTAATTCGGAATTTGAAATTTGTTTTAGAACATCATTGAATTTGTTAACGAGATTTAATAACCAAGACATTGGGACTGCAGTTCCCCTTTAAGCATGAAGACTTTACCTGGACAGTTCTCTCACTTGACATGCCTTCCACAAATATTCTGCATGTAGATCATTTAAAGGGATTTGCAAGTGGACTTTGCATGATACATAAGGTTTCTTTATTAAACACACAAGAGACTCAATATAATATAAAGCCCACCTTACCACAGTTCACCTAGTAATCTGAATCAGAGTTTTAAAAAACAACTAGTTTGACCCACGTCTGAATAGATGTGCAAGAAAGATATTATTGACAACTGCAGAACTATGTTTTTTGTTCTGATCTAGCAAATCCACTCTTGTGGATTGCAACTTGTTTATTAATAAGAGCTAGGGGAATGCTGAAATTCCTTTTGACTGGTGTTTGTTTTTCACTGATGCAATTTGCTTGGATAGGCCCTTAATATTTTGTTGTGATGGAGCCTGACTCCTTAGAACTTCAATCAATGCAGGGTTCTGAGTCATTCAAATTATGGCTCCATTATACCCAAAATAGTACATTCTGTTTTTTCATCATCTGAAGAATCTTATAGGAGAACTTTATCAGGTGCAGCACATAAGAAAATCCACTCGTTTAATCCAAGGTGCAGGAATATATTTCCATTCAAATATGTCAGAAAACAACAATAATTTTACAATCGAACAGATATATATCCATCTTTTTTACCAGAATTCTCTAATCTGTTTTTCCATTAAAAGCATAATTGACAGGACAGTGCTATTACAATCTGGAATATGTTCCAGTAATAGCAGTCAGTGCTGCAGGTGCATTAGAGAGATGGCTGTGACCATCCCATCAATTACATAGTGCGCTGTGAAACACATTCTTCACGGGCTGCTGTCTAGGAGGTGACATTGTATTTGTTAGCACCAGAACTCATTCAGTCTGCCTAAGCTCTCCCCAAGTGATTTGGGCACCCCCCACCCACACAATAGCCTAGAAAGCAGCAAAGGCACGTTTAAGGCTGGTGGCACAAATGGATCTGCCAGCAGTATTCAAAAACAATGACGCTTTCTCCCAAGCAACAGCAATGGAACTCATTCATAAATCATTTCCTGTGAATTACCATGTGGCATTGTTGGCACCATCACATTGCAAGCAAAGCTAAAGAAAAACGAGCCGCTGTCACACTCTCTGCCTATTAAAAATGGCTTCTCAATTTCGTGTCTAGGTGAGAGTGGAAGACATACCCTTTTGCTTTGGCTGTTATATTTCAGAAAGCTGTCTAAAGATGGCAATGCACAGAACTTTATTATTAAATCCTTTTCACTGCATGATATTCAGTAAGGCCCACTTTAATATTCTCTGTAAATGAAAGCAAAACAGTCTCCATCCTGTACATATTGCTGGCATTTCTTCATGTTTTATTGTCATGCAGTATGTTCTGCTTCTTGAGCTGGGACTTCTTGATGATTGTCGTTTCAATCATCTCAGTCCACTACATTATTGCGAGACAGAAAACAGGACAGGTGGGCTGAGAGAAGTGAGAGTAAGAAACACTTGTGCACGAAACAAATTATGAATGTTGATTTTCTGATTTCCAGTGCTGATTTCCTAGGGTCCCTTGGGAATAGGCACAATGACAGTCCTGGATCGATGAGCAGCTGGAAGCCAGGGGAACATGATGACACCCTGTAGTTTGTAGAGTCTCTTACACTCTCATACTGCCATCACTATCTGTATGACCCTGCTGCTTGTAAGCAAAGTGCAGCCAAAGAGGGGAGAGAGGTATCAAAGTTTCTTTGCTTATGTTTGGTAACAAGACGGAGTGAGCAGCCACCCATAAAACCCCAGAGAGGTCTCTGGGAAAAGGGAGGAAACCAGAGCACACATGTGAGAAACATTCAAACCACACAGACTGCTCAGACTGCTGATTGAGCCCAGGACCCTGCAGTCACATCAGCCCACGTCACTGGACTTGATTCAATTAAGATTACCTGTCCATCTGAGTCAAAAGCCAGGCAGGCCACTCCATGGGTGTGGACGTCTTTGAGAATGGACACGGTCTGCACGCTGTACGTGTCCCACACGCAGATGTAAGGGTCCTTCCCAACCTGGCCGGTGGCAACCTGAATTTTATCAGGGTGCAAAGCTAAACTGTAGAAGAAAAGGAAAGAAGTGGATTATGAGTCTATCGCAGCCCATTTTGTGACAGCTGAACAGCCTGTTATTAGTTAGGTTAAGATCTGGATTGTGGTTATTCAGTGCTGAAATTCTATGATGATGGTGTATTAACCGCTGATCAGCTATCACAACCAGTAACAAAATTACTGAAAACCAATGAAAACATATTTTAGAAAGATAAGCAACTCCTTAGCTTGGCAATGGCCAAGATGATTTTTAAAACCATTTATATATTTCATATATTTGTGGTCCTTAACCTGCTATTCAGGAAAAGATTAGCAGCTCACTGCACGGCAGGTTCTGAAAACATAATTTAATCCAAGGTTTTGAACAGGGACTTTAAAGGTCATAAATATATTTTTTTAAGTTTCTGTTTCCTATCCCATGTCTCAGTTCAGTGTCTAATGCCCTATAGCTAAATAGGAACCAGTTCTGCTCTGGCACTAATGTCATTTAAACATAAAAGTCATGGATGTTTCTGGGGTAGGGAGAGGCGGGGGGACTGTGCTTCCTGCTGTCAGTGAGGCAGCAAATTAGATTTTTGTGAGCTAAACTGGTCTCTGTCTCTTTAATAAACACAACATGAGACTGAGATTATTTTCTCACTGAAATCTAATTCAAAACAGAGCTGCAGCACACGAGAAAGCACAAATGATGATCCATCCATTTTCTAAGTGCTTCACCCAATACAGGGTTGTGGGAGAGCTGGAGCCTAACCCAGACAATCCCAAGCAAATGGATGCAAGGCAGGGTACACCCTGGACAGGTCTGAAGATGACATAAAATGCAGTTTTTGAAGAACATACAGGACAGAACAAGGCGTATTGTCTGATACAAATGACAAAGGGTCATCAGAATGGGCTAATAGACAAACTGACACAAAAAGATAGTGCTCTTTGTTGTTACTCTCACAACACATAACAGGAAAGGTGCATGATCTGTTGGTACCTATACAGTACGTGGGTTTTATAAGGCACAGTTAGCATTTACCTTACAAACACACACTACTGCAAAGTGATCAAAGTGATTGAGACTGGAAAACATTAAATATACCGTAACACAACACCCACTTCTACAAGAAGGTCTCAAAAGAGACAGAAGTGTAAAGTGATAAAAGCCTACTTCCTACATCATATACTTCCACAAAAACATTTTACTCCAATGTACAGTCACCCAGGAGCTGGGACACATCAGTTTAGAGTTTTGCATGTTAACACTGAGACAGAATAGAAGGAGAGCACAACAGGGTAGAGACTTCAGATTCATTCAGATTTCAGATTTTTATGTTTGCATTCAGTTAAAAAAGAAAAAGTTCGAAGTTAAAATGACTGAAGCACTGAATTCAATGAGTGTTGGGTGTTGCATTATTCCAATCATACACTCAAAGTAATTGCAAGCCATTATAATTTTAAATAGTTTCCCATATGGTTTGGACCAATATATACTGTAAATTAAGGAAATGCAATCAATTAAATAATTCCCTTCCGCTATCTCAAAGTAAGTAAACTATTTTCCTGCATTTATTCATTTATTCCCAGAGTTCAGATTGGTCATGACAGATTCTGACACCTACAGTATTCTTGAATTTAGAGCAGTTAGGGACATTCTAATTCATCCCACAAACCATTAAATGAACACATTGGCTAAACAAAGAAAGAATATTAATATAATCAAGGTATTGTAACGATCAGTTCTTTCCGGGCCCTATGCGGATGACACGATCCGGAATTGTGAGGATACAATAGGGAAAAATAGTCATGCAGGAAAAGGGTCTGGAGACGGGGGGCGTGTCCGAGGAGTGCAGGTGTCCAGGTGGAGTGAAGCCAAGGCGAACAATCCAAGCGTATATCCAAAGGGGGAGAGTCCAAAACCAGGGAATCCACGGAGCCAGACGCGGCAGGACCCCGGGCTCTCACGAAACGGGATTCAATGAGAAGCCTCGGGCAAACGCCTGCGTCTGGCTTTAAAGGTGGAACTAAAGAGGGGCTGGGCAAAGGAACAGGTGTAAGCAATGGGGGAAAACGAGGAAGGGCTGGAGCGCCCTTAAGAGGGAGAGTAGCGATCGTGACAGGTATGAGATGACGCACGTTTTGCTGGTTACGGTATTTGTCTCTTATACGATGCGTCTTCAAGAAAACAGGACAGGACGCAGGAGTGTAATGTACTCAGCACAACCTGCAGGGTCATTGCTTGTTTCGCACTGCCGCAAGCAAAGCAATAGATGAATCAACAGCATAGCAGGAGCCAGGCTGGAAAACAGAACCTTCTGACATGCAAGTCCAACTCCTGGGAGATGGATATTAAATTTCAGTCCTTTCTGGTAAATATAACTCAACTTCAAACGTGTATTATTGGATACAATGAATCCCAGGAAGAAAAATGTTCAATAATTAATAGTTCCTTAGACTTATATAGCACTTTTCTGGACACTCCACTCAAAGCGCTTTACAGGTAATGGGGACTCCCCTCCACCACCACCAGTGTGCAGCCCCACCTGGATGATCCACCAGTACACTCCCCACACACCAGCTCTCAGTGGGGAGGAGAGCAGAGTGATGAAGCCAGCTCAGAGATGGGGATTATTAGGAGGCCATGACTGGTAAAGATCAATGGGAAATTTGGCCAGGACGGCGGGGTAACGCCCCTACTAGTGATGTGCGGGTTGACTCATACTCGCGGGTCCGTTTCTCACAGCCGCGGGCGGGCGCGGGTCCAAAAAAAGGCCAGCCTGCGCATCGCTGACCCCTACTGTTTCAGAGAAACACCCTGGGAGTCAGGAGTTTGGTTTAACATCTGATCCGAAGGACAGTGCTTTTTTACAGTATAGTGTCCCCATCACAACACTGGCTAAGACTACAGACCACAGGGTGAGCGCCCCCCTGCTGGCCCCACTAACACCTCTTCCAGTAGCAACCTTAGTTTTTCCCAGGAGGTCTCCCATCCAGGTACTGACCAGGCTCACACCTGCTGAGCTCCAGTGGGCTTCCAAGTGTGAGCTGCAGGGTGACATAGCTTTTGACTGATATGTGACCATAAAACTATAGTTATTGAACAAACAGGTTTTATAGCACATATGCATTAATCCACAACACTGACAATTGGAACTAAAGGTTATTACAACTTAATGCTTTCAAAGACTAAATCAGCCAGAATTTTAATTAACCTTATTGATAATGTCTCATAATTCTAGTAGGTTAATTTAAAAAATAGTATATTACTGTCTGTATGGAGATGTATATATAACATGGCAGAGAAATTCTAAGCACAGAGTCACAACTGAAAATAGTAATGCAAATGAAAATCCATTTACAACAGGACTTTGGTTGTATGTCTTATCTAAAGCACAGAAAAAAGGAGGCTCAGGAAAATGGTTTGTAACCTTTCTTATGTTCTTAAACTCTTCTCTTCAATCATTACACTACCTCATTACAGAAGCGATTACTCCAGACACATGAAAACCTACCACCTGCAATTTGAGATTTAATCTTTTATGAGGAATGTTATTAAAAACGTTTTGAAAGTCTAAACACACCATATAACAACACTGCTAATTTCATGCACTTTTGCCGCCTACTGTTACTGTTGCTGCTTCTTCAGAGAACTTAAGGTAAAAAACGTGTTTAAGCAAGACGTAATGTACCTCTTCTAAAAACATTTTGACTATTCTCTAGAATATAATTTCTAGATTTTGATCTTCAGCCTCTGGTTTAGATCTAATAGTTGTTTCCACATCCTGACATGTAAAAGGAGTCAGATGTATGGGTCTATAATTACTTGGTTCAATTTTCTCACCCTTCTTGGGTACTGCACTGGTAATTCTCCAGTCCACAGTTACTACCCCTGACTTCACTCCTGTCCACGGCTACTACCCCGATTCACTCCGGTCCACGGTTACTACCCCTGATTCACTCCGGTCCAGGGTAACTACCCCTGACTTCACTCCGGTCCAGGGTAACTACCCCTGACTTCTCTCCGGTCCAGGGTAACTACCTCTGACTTCACTCCGGTCCACGGTTACTACCCCTGACTTCACTCCGGTCCACGGTTACTACCCCTGACTTCACTCCGGTCCACGGTTACTACCCCTGACTTCACTGACTGCTGGAGTTGTGCCACAACCTTCTTAATTACATCTCCTGTTTCCTTGAGTACAACTGGTAAGATACCATCAGACACGGCACAAGGGATTTATTAACCTTGAGCACTTCTAGTATCTGAAATGCTTCTCCTTCCGTTATGCTGATACTATCCAATACAGAACTTAGCCCTTCTGTTGACTAGGGCATGTTGTTGCCTCTTGATTAATGAACACCACAGAGAAATACTTGTTTAGTACTTTATCTATTTCTCTTGCAATGTCTAGAAGTTTCCCCTTATTGTCCTGGATTTATTTCTCCCTTGATGGCTCTGTGCTGTCTTAGTAAGAACCTGTTATTATTTATTTTAGGTTCCACTACAATGTTACTTTAATTTCCTCTAAAGGGCTTCGTAATATCCTTTTTATCTGTGTTTGCAACTTTAAAAAGTTAATTCACTTTATAAAACTCTTTCTTTTCCCTAATACGTTTCCTAATCAATGTGTTCAACCATCTGGGATACCATTCATTCGTTTTTGCTCCAAGCAGAATTCGTTTAAAACGTTGCAATTCATTCTCAACATATTCCATTTCTATCCTGTCCTATTTCACTTCTCTTAAACTGCGTGTCATTCTTTAAAATCTGCTTTCCAGGGACTGTAAGCTTTGCTTTGGACTCAACCTGTACAGCTTTAAAATATACTTCAAAACACAGCAAGTTATGATCACAGATCCCCGATGGCTCTCTCACATCTGTTTGCCTCACTCTGTCCTGATTATTTGAAAATACACAATCTACACAAGCATTTCTCCTCTGACAAACTGGGCAAGAAAGAATTCATTAACCATGTTTACTATTTTACTTTCTGCTGTAGACACTCCTATATCTTGCCCAAG